AAGGTTGTTTTTCACTGGGCTCCACTGTGGCTCACCGTCTTGATCCATACGGCCTCACGTTCCAACAGGACGTTCGACGGGCGAGGCCGCAGACGGTTCTTTCCTGGTAGATTAGAGGAGTCGGTCCCCAGTCCGCTCCCATCACCAGAGTTGAGGGATTCACCGAGCGGGGCTATTCCTCGGTAACCCCCCCTGGAGCCAAGCCTCGCGGAAGCTTCCGGAGCGAAGCTGCCCAGGTCGGAGCAGCGTCCCGTCCCTCCGGAGGAACCAGACGGCGACCACGCTCTCCAATCGAGCCCACCGACGTGTTTTCAGGCAGCCGCAGTTAGCAACAACGTGCGCTGCTAGCATATAGCATGTCCAAGGGACTGAAGGCCGCAGACCTGCCTTGGAGACGAAGAACTCCCTCTGTAAGGCAGCTGACGCCAGCTCAACATGTGTGCCTCTCCCACGGTTTGCCTGTCGAGGACTGCAGCGCGGATGATGATGATCCATCGACCCACCTGGCTTCGTTACTCCCCTCGCTGCCGGAGAATCTGCACAAGACCTGATGAAGCCATCGCGGATGCGCTGCTCAGAGCAGCTTCAAACCATGCTGGCGAAGTGAAACAGTCGGAGGAGGTGCCAGAAGCTGTGCGCCACCTCATCAAGCCGCGCGGCCCACCCCGTCCCCGCTGGAGGGACCGTCGCGAGCAAGCTTCGACTTTTCCACGGCCGCGGCTCTTGCTGAGTTCCACCACCAGCCCCGCCCGTCAGAATCCAGCCCTCTTCACTCCGGCAGCCTGCAGCTCAGCGTTTCCCCAGAGTTCGCCTGCAAGACAGCGCTCTGGGCAAACAATCGCAGAGCTCATGAGAGAGAAGCTCTCAAAATGACGGTCTCCGGAGGGTGTGTGTAAAAGTGACACGAAAGTTGAAATAAATCATCATTAATGATCAAAGTGTCTGTTTTTTAGCCAGTCTGTAAGCCCGGATGAGCTCACAGCGGCCGCACACATAAGAGCCGGTGTCCTTAATAAGGTTTTTTAAACTCACCGCCGCTCCAAGACATTACTAGTCGCTTACAGGGCACGATGGTAAGTGAAAATAACTCGTTATAATCCTGAGCTGCACGATTTTCACTCAAGCGATGTCAACTCGCACTCGTGGGATGAAACAGCCCCACACACGAGCCGGTGTCCTTAAATAAAGGTTTTTAAACTCACCGTCGCTCTAAGACATGACGAGTCGATCACAGAACAGCCTCCACACATGAGCCGGTGTCCTTAATTAAAGGTTTTTAAACTCACCGTCGCTCTAGACATGACGAGTCGATCACGGCACAACGGTAAGCGAAAATAACTCGTTACCAACTAGAACTGCACGATCCTCACTCAAGCGGTGTCAACTCGCACTCGTGGGATGGAACAGCCTCCACATGAGCCGGTGTCCTTAAATAGGGTTTTAACTCACCGCCGCTCTTGACATGACGAGTCGATCACTAAGATGAACAGCCTCCATCCAACGGCGCTGCGTTGATGCTGGCGCACACACACAGCTGCCGGCGCTAACCAGCTCACATCGGTATAAATGTGGTCCGCAGGCTGGTTCGGGTGGGGGCCCTTCTCTCTCACAAGAAACGACACCCGTCTCGACGAATCAACGCGGGCAGCCGTCACCCACCGCGTCTCAGCTTTCGGCAGCTCACCGCAGCTAAACGTGAAGCAGCTGAAGAACCCGGTAATGAGTCCCGCCTCCCTCCAGCGCGCGCCCCTCCAGCGAGAGCGGCGCGCGTCCCTCCAGAGAACAACGTGTGCTCCCGCGGGGCTAGCAGCCTTCACTCCAACAGCACGGCGTAAATGAAGTCACGCCCTCCGCCTTTTCAACGTTCGCACAGCGACGTCAAACGCGCAGCCCCACCGCGTCATCAGCTGTCACACGCTTCGCCTCAGCACAAGTCTCGCCCGGGATCACACAGAAAACATTCCCGCGACGCATGACGGCGGTTGAGGGGCGGACTGCTGACAGCCGTACAAAACATGACACCCTAACGCACGTCCACCCTACGAACGTTACGTAGAGTGGCTAAAACATGCTCGCCGTTTTTCAGATGGATGGACAAGGTTTTATGCAAATGGTACAAGTTACAGTTTGCAACCCGAACCCCTCCATTCAGAGGAGTTATAAAAAACGGTCCCGTCATCATCAGACTGATTCTCATCCCTAAATGCAGAAATCCAAGTGTTTTCTGATAAAAGTAATCTACAGAGTTCCCCAAGGGAGAGAAAACACAAGGTTTTTACTCACGGATCGGAGGGGTGAGACCGTTCTTGGATCTGTTGTTTAACATCCAGAGAACGCATACCGATCATCCTAACACAGAGACGAGAGTTTTTGTTTTACCTGGATGATCTGCTGCTCCTGTCACTTCAGACAGGAGGCGCTGATGCAGGATCAGGTGTTGACATCACACCTGTTAAATCTGGGCTTCGCCATAAATTGGAAGGAAGCTCGATTTTTTCCGGCCCAGACATTTGTTTCTGGGAGTGGAATTAAATTCAACCACCATGAAAACTCGTTTATCACAAACTAGATTCGACACTTTTTAAAAAGTCAACTCAGCCACGTAAGACCTGGCAAGTTATAACAGCTGTCTCTGTCATGAAGCTGTTGGAAATGATGTCACTCACACAGTGTTTTCCGCTGGTTTGTTTCACATGAGACGCCTCCAGAGGTGTTTTGCACGTCTGCATGTGGATCCAGTAAAACAAACGACGGTTGATCATTGTCCCTTCCTCTGTGGAAGCAGACCTCCGACTCTGGGGAAACACCTTGTTTTCTGTCATAGGGAGTCCCCCTCAGCAGACCCACGTCACAGGTCAGTCTTCACGGACACGTTGCTGTCAGGCTGGGGGGGGGGGAGGGACATGCCTATCTCAAGCAGTAGGGGCGCTGTGGCCCCACTACACATCAGCCCACATCAATGTTTTGGAGTGTCGCACAATACTGAAGGTGATTCAACACTTTGCTCCCGTGCTACAGAATCAACACGTGTTGATTCACACAGACAACATGATGACTGCTGCGTACATAACCATCAAGGGTGTGCGTTCAGCCCAGATGTTACACATTGTGCGAAAGCTACTGATTTGGGTTCATCAAAACCTGCTCTTTATTAGAGCGGTTTACATATCCGGTGTTCTGAACAGAGGGGCAGATGTGACGTCCAGGGGCGGCCCACGTCACGTGGACCGGACCCTCCATCCAGATCTGATGTTTTCAGACGCAGCAGAAGTTGGCAAAGCAGCTGTGGACCTGTTTGCGACGCGAGAAGAACGCTCAGTGTCAACTATGGTTTTCCCTGAGCCCGCGAGACGATCCATCGCTGGGGGGGGACGCATTTGCTCACAGCCGGTGGCCCAAAACGCTTTTATACGCGTTTCTTTTCCCCCACCTCCTCTGTTTTTTTACGGTTCCTGAACCGAGTTCAGGAGGAGGGATTGACAGCTCTCCTGGTGGCTCCCGGCGTGTGAACGCACCATGGTTCCCAGGCCTGCAACGTCTGTTGTCGGGTCGCCGTGGAACTGTCGTGGAGGGAGGATGCTCTCCTTCAGGCAGGAGGAGCGACCAAGAGTTACCCAGAAATAGGTCAACACCTGTGGGTCTGACCGCTGAGCGGTCCCACTTAGAGACATTAGAGGATGGGTCTCCCTCAGGAGATAGTGTGCACAATTCAAGATTCACGTGTTGCATCTACCACAGTTCTGTACACATCAAGGGGACGGCTTTTCAGCGCTGGTGTACAGAGAAGGTTTAGAGGCCACCTCATGCCTTTTAGGCGGCGTGTTGTTTTTCTACAACAGCTGATGGATAGGGAGTTGGTTTTCAGTACGCTTTAACGTACGTTGCAGTCATCTATTCCTGCCACGAAGGTTTCTGAGACAGAACAGCTTTTAATCACCCGCTGATGAAGCGTTTTTCTAAAAGATGTTCAGAGACACAGGCCTGCTTCACGTCCACTTGCTCCACAGTGGGATTTAACGCTGGTCCTGCGAGCCCTGATCAAAGCTCCAATTGAGCCTCTGGATCAGGTTTCATTTAAATTCTTGTCTCTTTAAACAGCCCTGCTGCTGGTTTTAACACCCGCTAAGAGGATAAGTAATTATCTGCCCTCTCTGTTGCTTCGTCATGCCTTAGAATTTAGACTGACGGGCAGCTCAGCTGATTTAAGACCAACTCAGCTTTTATGCCTAAAACATCACGAGCTCTTTTAAATCAAGAGTGATATCGTTGGAGGGGTCTTTCCCCCCCACAGATCAGAAGAGGAAGCATCTTTTCATCTTCTCTGCCCGGTGCGGGCGTTGACGTGTTACATAACGCGCACAGCTGCAATGCGTTTCAAACTCAACAATTGTTTGTGCATTATAGAGATGCTTCTGCAGGTCGCCGTTATCCATCCAGTGCTTGTCACACTGGCTGTGTGAGGCCTTTTCTGAAGCCTACAGAGCATCAGATTTAGGGCCTCCTGTCAACCTCAAAGCACACTCAACCAGGGGTATCGCATCTTCGACTGCTCTGCATAATGGTATGTCAATGCAGGACATTTGCACTGCGGCTGCATGGTCAACACCCTGCTCATTTATTCGCTTTTACCTACGTGATGTAACGGTTCGTTCCATGACACATTCTGTCCTTAGTGCTCTAACAGAATGAATATTGTTGTTCTCATGGAACTCTGTTTAAGCTCACTTCTGTCTGCATGCATTACAGTGTGAGATGTTGTTATCAGTCACAAGTCGTGTCTGTGATTTTGGTTTTATTGTCACTAATCAGTTCATGACTATTGTTACCAATCAGTTCATTTGATCAATAATCAATTCATGGACATTAATCTGTTTATACTGTTCAGCCATGAACCAGTTGGTTCATGCCCCCCCCCCCACCTCTTTTCAACTTCTTCTTCCGTTGAAAGTTTTCCGGGGCATTCATGCTTTGTCAGAACGCATAGTTACTCAACATGCGTCTGTGCATGGCACATAATTACGCGATGCGTGGTTATGCACACGGGGAGCTGAGTGACAAGACGTTTTTTGGGCAAGCTTCCGCTTCTTACTGTGTTCGAATGGACCCAGTGAGGCGAGGACCACATCCGCTTCGCCCTTAACCCATCAGCGACAGCCTTAAAGGGCGAAGCCTATATGAAATAGAACGTTGGTTACGTACTGTAACCCCAGATTCTATGAATATAGGCGTAGCCCTTTAAGCGTCGGGCCTCACTGGCTCCTAAATGGCTGAAGAAAAAAGCTATTTTGGGAGCCGATTTCCCGCTCTTAACGTAATTTATACGGACCGGGTGGGGCCCACACAGCAGGTGGGCGTGGACTAATTTTTTTTTCAGTGCTTATGCTCTGCATAACGGGATAAACCCATCAGCGACAGCCTTAAAGGGCTACGCCTATATTCATAGAATCTGGGGTTACAGTACGTAACCAACGTTTGTGGTTTGACTCCCATCACCCTTTGGAGCACAAGTTAGGAGTCATCAGGACTCTGTACCACAGAGCAGACAGCGTCCCCACTAGCTCAGGAGCCAGGCAGAAGGAGAAATCCCACACAAGACAGGTTCTAGAGCAATGTGGATATCCTAACTGGGCCTTCCTGAAAGCAGAGAAGAAACCCAAACAGGACTCCAGTCAGCCAACAGGTGAAAAGGAGGAACCCAGACCCAGACCAGTACTCATTCCATATGTTGAGGGAGTATCAGAGAAAGTGAGACGTTTATTTTCTAAACACAACGTCCCAGTGGCTTTTAAACCCCAAAATACATTAAAGACGGGTTCATCCCAAAGATCCAGTCCCCCGGCACAAACAGAGCAATGTTGTGTATGTTGTTCAGTGTCAGGAGGGTGATCAGTCTTACATTGGGGAAACAAAACAGCCACTGGCCAAAAGGATGGCCCAGCACAGAAGATCAACATCATCAGGCCAGGACTCTGTGGTCTACACTCATCTCCAGGCCAGCGGTCACTCTTTCAGGGATGAAGATGTTCACATCCTGGACAGAGAGGAACGATGGTTTGAGAGAGGAGTAAAGGAGGCCATCTTTGTGAGGAGAACCTGACAATCATTAAACAGGGGTGGAGGCCTCCAGGTTCAACTGTCCCCCTCTTACAATGCTGTGATTGCTAGTATCACTCAGCCCCCTGTAAATAGCAAGTGGCCATCGGGACACTGACGATCAATTATTAGGCTGATGGTCCTCATTGATCACGTGAACAACTGGTTCTGGATGTCAGCAACAAACTGGTTGATCCACTATGAGAAGGTGCTGTTTATGACAGAGTTTGTTGAAGTTGCTCAGATTGAAGAAGTCTTATGGATAAAAGACAAAACGTTTCAACAAAAAGAATTTGTCCAGAAGACCCGACTTAACCTGGTTGGCTTTTTCTACCTGGATTATTGAGCATGCATCAGGACTGTGTCAGTCAAAGTTTTGGACCTTTGATCAGTTTCAGATTAGCAGTAGTTTTACAAAGTTTGACTGATTTATTTATCATGAATCATGTTTCAACATTTTCCACAGTGTAAAGCATTTATAGAATCAGTCCTATAAGACTGTTCTTACCCTGATGAATGCTCGTTTTTGTGCTGAAACGACTAATCAATTTATTGATGAGTACTTACTCAGCCACAGGACCAGCAGCCAGTGAACCCATGAAGGAACAGGGAGCCTTGAGCAGGGACAGCACCGTGCATAAGTTTGAAGCATTTCCTCCACGCTGCCATCGCTGGGACAAACACCTGCAGCACAGAATGATGACATCACACCACCATTCAGCAAAAACATTAGTTCAGGATGGAGCCAGTACAACAAACATCTTACCAGCAGGGTCAGGGAAGTTAATTTTAAAATAGTTTATTGAGTTTATCCAGCAAACCAACTTTCCAAAAATAAAGAAATGATTTTATAGAAGAATCTGTCCAAATGACTAGATTTTACTTTTTTGTGATTTGATAGAAGCTTGAATGTTTAAAACAGCCACTGGGGAGCACAAGCCAGAGAATCTCGGGTTCTGGTCCCAAGCCTGGGTAAATGGTGAGGGTTGTGTCAGGAAGGACATCCAACATAAAACACTTTTGCCAAAACTAACATGCGAGTTCATCAAAGGGAAACCATACTGGCTCCTTAGATAGAGAACTTTACTAATTGGCTTTTATGTATGTGAATGTTCCCGTAAAGTGCCCTGAGACAACTTTGATGTGATTTGGCACTTTATAAATAAACTGAATTGAACTGAATTGGCTCGGTCGAGGCCCGGGTTAACAACGACCGCCACCGGTGATGTTGACAAACAGGGTGCTGGCGGAAATTGTGCTACTGTTGGTCGAAGACCACGAGGAGGGAAATGTGTCAGGAGACAAAGGGAGAAGAGGAAAGTCAATAATGTAGGACTGAGGGTGAACACTCTAAATGTGGAGACAATGACAGGCAAAGCTGGCTGACATGATGCTGAGAAGGAAGGTACATATTTTATGTGTCCAAGAGACCAAATGGAAGGGCAGCAAGGCTCGCAGCATTGAAGCATGGTTCAAACTGTTTTATCGTGGTGTGGATAGAAAGAGAAATGGAGTAGGGTGGTCCTGAAGGAGGAGTTGGCAAGAAAGTAGTAGAGGTGAAATGAGTGTCAGATAGGATGATGTGTCTGAAGGTAGAAGTAGGAGGTCTGATGCTAAATGTTATCAGTGGTTATGCTCCACAGGTTGGATGTGATGTGGAGGAGAAAGATACATTTTAGAATGATCTGGATGAAGTGATGAGTATACCCAGGGAGGAGAGAGTGATGATCGGAGCAGACCTGAATGGACATGTTGGTGAAGGAAACAGAAGGGGTTGAGTAGGTTTGGTGTCAAGAAAAGAAACCAGGTGGTGGTGGATTTTGTCATGAGAATGGAAATGGCTTTAGTCAGCACTTATTTCCAAAAGAGGGAGGAGCATAAAGTGACCCATAAGAGTGGAGGAAGCAGGAAGGAACATCTTGTAAAAAGATCTGAAGCTTCTCGACCTTCACTTCTCTAAGTGGCTTTAAACATCAGCAAAGTTCCTGGGAAAAAACAATGCATGCATGTTCTTGTTTTTAGTTTTCTACATCGCCCTACAACCTAGCTGGATTACTTTGTTACATTTTCTTTTAAATACTTTTCTTTTATTTTTTCACTTGTTATTCTAAACTGTTAAAGAAACTGGTTGCAGATGTTGATCTGTCTTCTTGGACTTGGTGGGTTTCTCGGTCTTCTTGGGCAGCAGGACCGCCAGAATGTTGGGCAGAACCACTCCCTGAGTGATGGTCACTCCTCCCAACATCTTGCTGAGCTCCTCGTCATTGCGGACAGCTAGGTGCAGGTGTTGGGGGATGATCCTGGTTTTCTTGTTGTCATGAGCTGTGTTTGCCGCCAGCTCCAGGATCTCGGCGGTCATGTACTCGAGCACCGCTGCCAGGTAGACGGGAATGAATCCACAGTGCCTCCTTTTTCAACTCATTTGGGATTTGGGGCTGTAGTTGAGGTATTATTTGAGCTTTTCAGATGTTAATCAGCTGCTACCAGTTGTAAACAAAACAGCACCGTTCTACAAAGTGTTTAAGTTAATGCCTGTCATTCACACACACTAATATATTTGGAAAACAAAAAGGCACCAAAGACAACATTTGTAACTTTTAACGTGATTATTAAAAA